CAGCACTTATCCCAAATGGGCATAAGTGAGGACAAGCCAAGGTGCCAGCAGGGAGAGAAGGGGGAGCTGCCAGCCTGTGCCCAGCCTACTGCATGTGATTTTCCAGCTCGCCTTTGCCTTCTTTACCACCATTCCCTGTTGTTTTCTTCTGCCTCTGTGCAATTTTGAGAGCAGTTTAGAAATTCAGCTCAGCAGCTGAGCCTTATCCCTGCTCAGAGCTGAACTCTTGATGTGACTGGCTTTATTTGGGATGAAATTTTGCAGGCCCCTACCAAGAGGCTGGGGCTCCTGCTCACCTGCAGGGTACTGCTGAGGGCAGGTAAACCCCTCTCAGGAGTTCCCTGCACAGTTTTCCTCTTGTCCCCATTGTGGCATCTTCCTCCACCCTGTGTGCTCATCAGGAGCTGCAGGGTCTTTTGGGACTGCTTCACAAGGTGGTCAGGGGAAGAACTTCAAAACATTAGATTTTCTGAACTTGTGCTGGAGGTGCTTCAGAAAAAAAGGAGATAGCTGTGGCAACCTTCAGTGAATGATCTCAAGGCACATGGTCATGGCACTGGGATCCCTAAAATGAGTTTATGTTCAGATGAGAAGTTATTTTGTGTTGAAGACCCACTTGTTTCCTGGGGGAAGAATAATGAGATTGGGTTACAAAGATTTCACAAACTGACAGTGAAATCAGCCCAGAGTCAGCACTGAGCTGCCAATAATTTCTGATATTTAAAACCAGATTTGGTATTATGAACTTGAGCCAGCCTTGTTCCCAAGCCTTCTCATTGCAAATTCTGCGAAGTTTTTTCAAGCATTAAATTGTTTTCTACAGATCATTTGTTATCACCCATCAATTTGGTGCTTGGGAAACAGATCCATCACAGTGCAGGCTGCTGTTAGATGCAGGACTGGCACTGGGCACCATATGGGGAATTGTGAGGCATGCAGGTTCCAAGAAACATCCCAAAGCCATAGAAACAGCCTCTGTCCCCATCACCCAGAAGCTGACTCTAGCCCAGCAGTGGTGGTCTGAAGGGCTGACCTTTCAGAACTCATCATTTCAGCAGCACTCCTTTACTGCTGGGAGATAGGGAGCAGGTTGCAGCACAGGTTTTGCCCCCAAAATTTATATTCTCTCAGTGACAGATGTAGCCTTTAAATGGTGGAGATTCTGAATCCCTTGCTTGTGGCAAATGCTGTACCAGCCTCTCAGGTGTCATCCAGGGCCAAAAGGAGAGGAAGATGTGCCTGGGATTGAAAAAGGAATATGAGCAGAAACAGTAGCAAAAGTAATCCTGAGCAGTGGCCAGAAGGCTGCCCCAGGGCTTCAGAGGGGAGTATGAGCCAAGAGCAGCTTTGGGCAGCCTTATGAGCTTGAGATAAGGCTGAAGGAAAGTGTGTGGGCTCAGATACATCTCCATCCCCTATGTCTCCCTGAGTGGGTGCACTCAGGCTGCCTCCTGCCTTGACTTGTGGAGGTGGCATCCTGCACGTGTTACTGAGGCCGTGAATTCCACAACGTCCTGCACATTGCAAGTGACTGTGTTTGACTCTGCCACTTGGAGCATGATGCAGGTTTGCCTTGATGACTTTTTTTGGGAGCAAGATCCCACCACAGGGTGAACTGCCTCAATCCCTGTTTGTCCTTTCTTTAAGGGTGAATTTCATAAATGACACAAGTTACTCCTGACAGACATTCAAAACCCAGGTATTTTCAGACTGGGTTTCTTTGTTTTCAACCACCCTCTTTAAGTATGGTGAAGGAGGGGTGGATGCAGGTGCCCACAGTGGCCCTAAGCCTTTAGCAGAGCCTTTAGGCTGGAGGGAATGCATGTGGAGTTTTAGAGAGCAGCCAGCTCTGGACTTACTCCCTGTTCACCTATCCTCTAGGGAAAAAGAGATGTGGTGAGCAGTCACCTCCACATGCCCACACCCCACTTCTTGTAAGGAGCTGTGGGTAACTCACATCCATCATGAGAAACACTCAGGCTGCAGCTGGGAGTGTCCTGCACTGGCTGTGGAGCTGCACATCTGGAAGCCAGATCCTTGCCTTGGGCATGGGACACACAGGGGTCACCAGTGAGCCTGCCAGTCTCTGGGGCTGCTCAAACAGGAGACAAAAAGGGACAGGTGGGAAATGTCTCCCAATTCTCCTGCCTCTTACTCATCTGGCATGTAAACTTGATTTTTTCTCAGTCTGAATGGGCAGCCTGCAAATGTGTTGCTGGGGGCAGTGCCTTGACAAGCACCTGGTTACTGCAGGCTCTGAGTTCTGCTCCCTTGCCAGGACCCACTTGACCAGTCAACAGTGGTGGGCAACCTTGCAACCTTAAGGGGCCAGGAAAAAAAAGGGGCCAGGAAAAAAAAAAGAGCTGATAGCAGTATGGGCTTTATTCTTTGCCACCACAACAATTTAAAACTGGGAGCTGAGCTGTGTTCACACCATGTGGCGTGAACAGCCATCCTCACCAGGTGCCCAGTTCAAGACTCGGGTGTGCAGAAGACGGAAGACACTCGGGGGTGGGAAATGCCTCTCCCTGCTCCTGGCCACATTCCTAGCACACAATCCAAGGATTGTGTGATACATCTCTCTTTTCATCTTTCAGTGAGGAGGATGGAAGGCGTGGACCTTTGACAAGACTCGGAGGAGATGCTAAGGTTGCAGTGAACTCTGCTGCTGTGTGTGCTTGGAGGCACAGCCACTCAGCTGTAACAGCAAAAAGCTTCGAGCTGCTCCAAGAAAAATGTGAGATTTGCACAAATAACGGGATCTGTGATCAGAGTTGCCAGAGAGGGGTTGCAGAGCTTCCCCAGCAGGTTGCAAATCACAGCAGCTGTGGCCAAGTTTCCCAGAATGCTGGATACCAGGATCAGGCAGTTCTGGGAGACTTCTGCAGCCATGTGCACTTCCCGCCCATAGGAGCATTTGAACCAGTGCTTCTGATTCTTCTCCCGTGACAGTGTTACCCTGTGGGCAGCTGGTGTAGACCTAAAAAGGATAATATCCCATGAAACCAAAGAACCTGCATCTGCAGAATTAAGCAGGCTGCTATCAACAGCATGATGGCTTTTTTTGTGAAGTGACTGGGACAGCTACCCCCAGTATTTGGCAAAGATTCACTGATCTAGGTGAAAGCAGAGTTTACAGCTCTAGAAAGATTATGTTTTTCCCTATCTGGCAAAATTTTGTTGCTGATTTGGGGTTTATGCTGTTAAATACTTTAAAAATTCATTTCTCTTTAAGAAGCAGCTTATTTCCTTTCCCTGGTTTCCTTCTACTCCAGACTTTACCCAAGCAAACTCAGCAGCCCAGTTTCAGACTCTGACAGCTCCTGATTTGGCTGGAAGCCAGTCTGTGGATCTGAAAGATGTGTTGACATGTAATTTTTCCATTCCTACTGCATATAAACTGTCCATTATTCCCCTTATTGCCCGGAGCTAGGGAGAGATGCAACAGCAGAAGACTGCAAGTCAAAACCAAACTACCCATGTGATTCCCAGTGTTTTTCTGGACCATACTCTGAAAAATAACACTCATACTTGTTTTTCATTACCTGCTACTTTTTGCATAAAACTCAGGCTATCTCTCTGCTCTTGACTTTGCTGTGGTTATTTCAGACAGAAATAAGGCTGTTTCCAGCCCAGGCTGCTGTCCTCCCTGGTGGGAATGGTGCTCACATTCAAATGGGGGTAGTGGAAGAAACTGGCTGGGGTTTGGCATCAATCCCTCATCTGTCCTGGATCTGGTCAGAAACTCTTGACCTACCTGGCCACCTCTTTTGCTACGTGTAGAAGTGCAATAATAGGGATTAAGAGGCATAAATAAGATCCTCAGGGGAAAAGTGCTTAGAATGTCAGTGTTATGATTCAAATGGTGTCTTTATTTCATTTTTTTAATGAAGGCAAAAATGTAGCAAAGTATGCAAGGGAGGAAATTCTAATGTTAGTATCAGCCTCATAAATGTTGTACTTCCTCCTTTAGGAATCATTTAATAACTGGCTATTCTCAGTACATGGAAGTCTCTGCCATGAGGCATTGAAGCCAAAACTCATTAGGATTAAATTAATAATAATGTTTATACAGCTACACTGAGGCTATCCAGAGCTGCTGTGTCGAGGACAGGGAATGATTCTCGTCTGGCACATACAGAGCTGCTTGGCTGTAGCTGGAGGGGTGAGGGAGGAGTTGCTCTTCACCCTGACAGTCTCAGCATCCTGCCCTGGAGCTGCCTATGGTCTCTGGAGCTGGTTTGGGATGCTGGGCCCCATTGCCTGGCGACTGCTGCACTGTTTGTGTCCAGATTAGATGGTGGAGGGGCATGGGGGGAGGTGCCTGGCAGCCACATCCAGACTTTTGCTTGCATCAGCCTCAGGTAACGTGTGAAGTGCAGTATCAGCTCTGCTGGGTGTCTCTGCACACTTCTGTCACAAGTCTTTTCACACAAGTCGGTTTCCAAGCCTTGCAGCCGCCCCTTCCCCAGGCACTGGGGCATGTACATGCAAACTGTTGGATTGGGAGGGTTGCACTGTGAAGGAGAAACTCGAGCAGGAGTGTGAAGGTGCAGTTTACCACACACCACTCGGGCAGCTGGGTCCTCACTGTCGTGTCAGCAAGAGTGCTGAGCCTGTGTGGCACAGTGGAGAGGATGGGTGCAGGCAGCTGCTAACAACACTCTGCTCATCGTGAAACCCTGACACCCTGCAGGCTGTTGCGAAGGTTAGGTGCCTCCTCTGAAGAGTGCAGAGTTCAGGGAAAAAAAATTGCAGAAAATGGGAACTTCACAGACTGTGTGCCAGGATCTGGAGCCTGCCATAGTGGCATTTCCTGTCTGATCGACGGGGCATGGATTAATGACTGAGCAGTAGATTTATGAGCACCCCAGGAGAAGTTTGGTTCTGATATCAGAATCCCTTCCTGACAGAGAAGCCATCAGAGAGCATCCAGCTGTGTCTTTTTAAACTGGTGTCATGGTTCAACCCCAGCTGGCAACTCAGTACCGTGCAGTCTTTACTCAATCCTCTCACTTCTTGGTAGGATGAGGAAGAGATACAGGAGAAAATAATCAGTAAAACTTGTGAGTTGAGATAGGAACAGCTCTATAACTGAAATTAAGTAAAATATAGTAATATTAATTAGAATAATAACGGTAATAACATATAATGATAACAAAAAAAAAATGAGAGGAAGAGAGAGCTAAAACCCAAGAGAAAGCAGTGCTGCACAGTACAATTGCTCACCATCCACTGACTGATGCTCAGCCTACCTGCGAGTAGTGATCAGTGCTCTGGGGGAGCTCCCCCCAGTTTATTTACTGGGCAGGATGTTCTGTGGTGTGGAATATCCCTTTGGCCAGTTTGGGTCAGCTGTCCTGGCCGTGCTGCCTCCCTCTGGTGCACCTGCTCCCTAGCAGAGCCTGTGAAACCAGAAAGTCCTTGATTTAGAGTAATTAGTCTAATTAATGTATTACCAACATTACCATCATACTGGATCCAACACACAGCGCTGTACCAGTTACTAAGAAGAAAGTTATCTCAGCTGAAGCCAGGACAACAGGGAACAGAAGTCCTTTGGGAAAGGAAAGATTGATACTATAAAATATGTGGAAAGAGCAGCAGTATTTTCATAACCACTAAAACTGTGCAGGTCGGTTTTGTACAAAATAACATTTTATAAAAGGAAAGGAAATTCTGCAACTCCTAGACCTTGCCTGTTTATGTGAAATCCACTTACATCATCTGCCCGTGTAGATTGAGCACAGTATCAGAGCAAGAAACCAGAGTCCAGGTTAATTGGGGAGCAAGCTGCTCCCCTCTTGAGACAGCACTTCTACAGCTGCTTTATTTAGTGCTGTCTTCAGTTACAGGTGTTTTTAAACCTATTGTTCCCTGTTATTTTCCAAAGCCTACCCTCTGTTACAGCAGGTGTTGCTGAGGACATGGCTGGATCCCAGTGGGACCACTAAAGGCAAAAGGAGAAGGTGACGGGGACAACCCATATGCCACTGGAGCCCTCAGTGGGGAAAGTAAATGAGCGAGGCAGCTCCCAAATATAATCCTCAGGACAGCACTGGGTGGGGGGGAGAAATCTGCTTCATCTTCCTGGTTTTATTCCAGTGAATTACGCAGGCAAGGCTCCTGCATATCTGCTTCGGGCAGGGCGCCGTGAGTGTCACGGCATGAGAGAAGGAGCTCTCAGAAGGAGCTCCTCTGTCGTTTTTGAGGCTGTTGAGCGGGGGTAGGTGTCCTGCTATTTCTGTGCCTCTCTTCCCAGTAAATACACTGCCCAGAGTCTCCTCCCTGGTCACCACCCACCCCTGAGAGCAGCAGGCAGAGCTGAAGGGAGCTGGGGAAGTTAGGACGGGTTTTAAAATGGAATTTAACAGGTTTGTGGATGCAGATCTGCAGGCTGCGCCTGTCTGCAGCCCCAGGCACTGGGTGTCACTGGGTGACCTCTCCTGACTGCATCTTCCTGAGTCGCTGAGGGACACACTGGATTTCTCCAATGTCCTGCTGTCACGGGGCTGGTGACATAACTGCAAGGGCTGGGGGGCTGTCCGGCTGGAGGGAGATATCCAGGTGCTTCTGCAAAGGTCAGGCAAATTTTCTGTCCCCCTCACTCATGCCTGGGCACCGCAGGGTTGGAAAGCCTGAGCCAGTACACGCAAAACGAGGGCTAAATACTGCTCGATCGGAGCATCGATTAAACGAAGTCGATTTGGTTATGCTAGCTGTATCGAGGATTGCATCACTGAGCACAGGCAGAGGTGCTGTGTGTAACACCCGCCCCCTCACCTTAAAGCCACCAGCACTTTGGTTTCACTGGAAGAGCCTGGGCCAGCGTTTATCATCCCGGGAATCCTCGCCAGCTTGTGGGTTTTTTTCATTTGTGTCAGTCAGGGGACGCACAGGGCAAGGCAAGGAAAAAAGGCTGTTTGCTTCCTTATTAGTTTAAAAATAAAAATAAATAAATAAATAAAAAATTATATATATATAAAAAAAAAAAAAAAAAAAAAAAAAAGAGAAGCGTTTCCCAGAACTGTTTCTGAAAATCCGTCAGTGCCCCCGTGTGTCGGAGCAGGGGCTGGCGGGGAGGCCGGGGAGCCGCTGTGCAGAGGCTGCGCCGGGCAAGGGAGGTTTGCAGGTGTCCAAAGGGCACCCGTGGGGCAGCGGCGGGGGCTGCGCTGGGGATCACGCTGTCCCCTCCAGACGGGGGGGGCGGGGGCTGTGAAGTGACAGCGACGCTGTGAAGTGGCAAAGGCTCTGCAGCAAACCATTTTCAAGGGCAGTCGTGTCCCACAGGGGCACGATTCGCTGCAATGCCCTAAATACGGTGTGTGCGAGAAGGAAATATCCAGAAATCGCAGAAGAGCCGAGAGTGCGTGTCCGTGTGCGGGCAGGCAGGAGGGCGGGGGGCGGCTGCAGAGACCGCCCCGGTTCCTGCCTTCGTCTCTAAAGTGTTTCGTATCCCCAGAGACGGCGGCCGCCCAGCGCATTGCTGGATTAGGCGAATCCTGTTCTGGCGACGGGTTTTTAAAGCAGATCAGTGCAAGATGGAGAGAGAGCTCCCTGTTTTGGCAGAGGCGCTCGCCTCCCTCCGGCCGTGCCCGGCTGCTGCCCATCCTTTGCTGCTGCAGGAGCAGACCGGGAGGCAGCAGCTCCCCGCGGCTGCCGCACACGAAGGCGCTGCCGCTGCTGCTGGTGCTGGTGCTGCTGGTGCTGCTGGTGCTGCT